GGTAAACTTGTTAGTGCAAAACTAACCAAACTTTGCAATTTATATAGATCCTTTTACACTCTACATATTTGCATTGTTGCCAAACGCAACCTGAAGGGGTGGTATCACTTACTCCTCGGAACTTTGTTGATCAAGGTATTAACTCAGATGGTCGGATTGTTAAACTTAGAAATTGCTCAAGGTGCCAGTTCCGTTTCATCCCTAAATCATTATTTTCCCAAAACCGTTGAATTAATCAGTGTCCTGATTCAAGTGATTGAACTGCCAACTCGTTTGATTCAAACAATGTTTTTAATTTGGGTAAATCACAAAGACTTCCCTATACTATAGGGTCTGTGATAAAGACCCCCTATACTTTGTTTTGCGATAAATACCCCCCTTGTACTATGACCGTGAGACAAAGACCCCCTTCCGTTAGATTTTTGTTAAAATTTGACATTGCAATATTTTTTTTAATCCCCGTACTACCCTTGTAAGAAAAACAATATTCATCTTCCCCAACCTCAGGATAACAGGAATAGTAGTGGCGGTATTCCTTCACATTTCTCTCTCTCCAAATCTCTCTTCTTCCCCTTCCCCTTTCTTCAGACTCTCCTTGATCTTCTCTCTCCACCGCCTGACTGCCTTAACTAAGCTGCTGGTTCTGCAATCCCGCCATGAGAAAAGTCAGAAAATAAAGACCAGAAAAGAATTTGCAACTAAAACCTCTCAATTGTTAGCAACTCGGCATTCACGAACTGTCAACTTCTTTCGGCCAGGTTAACAACAGCACCCCAGCGATAATTCCTTCCATCACCGAGTTCCACCCGCAGTGAGTTAGGAACCCGCCCACGTCTCCATGGTTCAGTATTGGGACTTGTGGGGCCCATCTATTTATAATCAAACCTCTCCCCATCACCCGATCTTCGAAATAAATCTGACCCCACTTCGTTTCAGCCCGGCTCCCAAGGCCTCCAGCTGTCGTTTTGGCAGTAGCACCTGACTACCGAAACAAACGTAAAGCACAGATTCGTCCGGGCAACGGTCGACCACTTCAGCACATTAGCAGGTTACACCGAACTGGGCTCATCTTGTTCATCAGATCTAGCACCAGCACCAGCACCCTCCATCATAGCCAAAGGGCCCACACGCCAAACACGGTGGTGACTCATTTCCTCTTCAGGTGATCTCGATACACGCCCTCCAGCGCATCGAACGTGTTCAAAATTCACCCCAGCTCGAGGAATTTGCAATCATGCCATCCTTGACGATCTGCCAGTCGGGAACTGATTCCCTGTAGAGACGGATTATAGAGGGAAGGTTTGTAAGGAAAGGAAGGGGAACGTGGGAGGCTGGGGAAGGAGATGAGGAGGGATGTAGAGTTCCGAGTTTCGGACAGAGAACGTCGAGAATGGAGGCTAAAAATGCGCCGGAGGAGTAGAAGGCAATACGGGGGACACTCAGGCGACGAGCGAGGTGCTGGGTCCAACCAAGGAAGAAATCAGAGAGGATGCCTACGGGTGGGGAAGGGTGAGTGTTGAACCCTGGGTGATGGGATCGGAAAGTGCAGAAAGGGCGCGTATGATGGGAGTATTGTCGCGGTTTCTCGACACGGGGGGGAAGAGATGGGTGATGGGGAAAGGGAAGATGAGGGTTTGGATGAATGGTGTTTGGAGAGAAGAGGATGTAGAAATTAAGAAAGGGGGAGGTTGTTGGGTGTGACAAGTATGGTGATGGTTAAGCTACGAATGGCCAACTGGTGGGTGAGATCCAGAAGCGGTAGCATGTGTCCCTGCGCGCAGGAAAAGGAAATACCAGTATGTGTGCGCCACCGCCGGAGGGATTCGTCGACATCTTGTCAGTGTAGAGAGAGAGGCGTGAAAAACAGAAAGAAAGGGGAAAATAATTGTTGTTCTGTAGACTGTAGCCCTTGAAGAAGAAAGGGGAGGAGAGAAAGGGAAAGGGGAAGAAGAGAGATCGGGGGAGAGAGAGAGAAAATGAAGGTATACCGCCTCTGCTGTTCGTGTATGGTGAGATCAAGAAAGCTGAACAGTGTTTTTTTTACAAGGGTGGGTAGTATAGGAATTAAAAAGTATTGTAACGGCGAATTTTATCCATTTGGACCGGATGATCAAACCGCTAATCAGAGTCCGATAGCCAAAGCAGTTCCGATTCCAAGTCAATTTTTAAAACATTGTTGTTGAAGGTTGAGAAAAAACAGATGAGGACAGTTGGGATTTTAGAAAAACCAAGTTAAAAGGGCAAAATGGTCTCATAAAATAATACAAGGGTAGTATGGTATTTTAATCTTTTTAAAATGTTCGAAGGGATATGTCATGAAGTGAACTGACGAAATGCTAACAGAAGGGGCGAAATACTTGAATCCAAAGGTCTGTATTGCAAAACAAAGTCCAAAGGGCTAAATGTCATTAGCCTCAAGGTACAAGGAGTTTGTCTGTTATTATCAAAAATTTTATAGGTAAAAAGACAACCACCAACACCATCAATAAGAGTAGATAGAAAGCAGAGACAATCCCCCGGAACTACCACTTAGGTCTTCAATAGTACCGAATTGCTAATCCAAGCAATCTCATAAATTGGTAGCTTATTTTAATACAAGTTAATTGGATAGTGTTTTTTGAACTTTGAATTTCTTAACCCCAATTAAAAAAAAAAAAAAAACTCCGAGACATACTACAAATAATTCAAGTTGAAGACTTAAATGAATATAATGCTTATGGTATAGCAGACAATTGTTTATGATAGATCTCCGACCACTTAACGCCTGCTTCTAGACTGCATCTCTACATGAATTTGCTCTCTTTAGCCCATTCAAATCTTTCTGCTGAGTTATTGTCGACCATCAACAATTTTCTTTAAACTGAATTTCAATTTTTCCAGGCTTTAAAACCTTTATGGGTTCAAGCATAACAAGATACAATCAGACAGCAGTTTGTCTTCGAAGAAACTAACTGTGCCACAATGACTTAAATGTAAGGTTTTAATCTATGAAGAAATCCGGTGATCATCATAAAATGGAATGACAATATAACTTGAGATCAATTGACTTGGAGCTAGGATGATGTTTGGGCTGGCCATAAATGGCTTGGGCTGATCATCAGGTTCTGGGCTGGCTTCCATAGGATACTGATGCCTTTGACAGGAATTTGATGAGGAAGAAAATTGTTCAATGAAACCCAGGGGCCAACACATTGATCGAAAGTGCTATGGGCCCAATTACTAAACCATCATGGTGGTCTTCAAAATGATGGTTTCTTTCTCACTAATTTTCCAACTAATTTCAAGAACCAGCTCCTCCTTATGGTGGGCAGAATCCTATCATGGCCATGTGGACTGCTTCATTTTTCTTCCTGCACCTATTTTCAGAGAAATATACTTCTTAAATGGAGATTCTATGTAGTATGTATTTGGTTCAGTTTATGTTTATTGAGTAAATACTGTCACATAAGCATCCCATCATCCAAGGCCTCATTATAAGCATCCTTATTCTATGTGCCTCTTCGGCTTTAGGAAGCTTCATTTTGGAACTTCCTAAAATGGGTAAGCATTTATTGACACTTTGTTGATGTAGTGCCTAATGGCACCTATGTGTCATAAATGCCCTCATTAATTGTTTTTCTCGGTTTTACAGCCACACAAGTACACTCCTAATAGGTTTTCAAAGCAGAGAAGGTGAAAAACAAATCATCCCTGCTCTGGCCACCTAGAGGACTATTATCAAAAATTTCTCAGCAGTGAGCAAATTAGTTCTTGCAAATTTAGCTTCTAAGAACTCTAATCTAGGATCGAGGCCCCCAACAAATTTAAGTTTGCTCAAGTAATTCCAACTAATTTAGTTGGGTTTGTTATTATCCTTCATTTTGACCCAACCAGAATTTTCTCTGAATTTTTGGGAGCAAATTATACCTTCCAATAGGTAATAAGGACCTTCATTAATGTTGTCTGTTTAGGGATCTAAATACAAACACTCTCTAGATAACTGCCTCCAATCCATTCTCTCACCAAAGTCCTCCTTTTGCACAATTTTTACAAAAGGCCATTTTACTTTATCATGAGTTCTGCTTCTGCTCATGCAGAAATTCCTTTTCTTTTTTGAAGAATAAACAATCACATCTGAAATTCCTCCCATAAAAGAACTCGTATCTGTGTTGCTCAATATGACTCCCAATGTTGGACTTTTGGGAAAAAACAAGATAAAAATCAAATGGAATCTCTAAAGGTTATTATTTAGGGGCGTTTTTTTTTTCTTTCAGACTTTGAAAGGGGAAAGATGGTTAATGGAATTTTGGTTCTCATTGATCAAGAACCTCTTCTTTTTTTAGATTTATGTGGGGACTAGAGAAAGTTTATTTTCCTGGGTACCACTTACCTGCGTAAGTGATACCCATCTCCTAGGTGGGTAAATAACTTTTCCACCTAGGGGGAAAGTTGCCAACACTTGAATGGGACAAAAATGCCCCTTTTAATAATGGATTTTTATGGCTAAAATGGTCATTACCATATTTACATGAAAAATAAAAGAATATGGATAAATGCACTTACCCGGATAAGTGTTTCCCAAGAAAAACTTATCCAAATAACTGCATTTACCCGGGTAAGTAACTTACCAAAAAGCAAACAGGGCCTTGGTCTTTGTGACCATGGTTTCCAAAACCGGACCGAACCGAACCGGACGATCGGACCAGGAAAACTGGGAATGGCCAGTTCCATTTTTCCCCAAAACCGGATTTTCTCCAAAAACCGTTGATTTTGGTCAGCAAACCGCTGACCTGGGTGGTTAACCGTTCGAACGGTTTTGACCATTTTTTATTTTTTTATTTTTTTTATTTTTTGTCAGATATGTTTGTGACACTTCAGCCAAGGAAACCCAACCCTCATCCATCAATTGGATTTTTTTTTGAAAAAAAAAACCACAAATTTGCTTGCTAACGTGAGGATGCTTTCATGTTCTATAGATTTAGCATCAATAGTTAATCTAGCTTTAGTATGAATCTCCTCCTCCCATACAACACTGAGGCAAAAAATGAGGCACCATCTTTAAGGATGAGAATTTGTAAACCACAAGCTCAAATTCAAGCCAAAATCGAAAGCAAGAGACCCTAGTAAGAAGTGACAGAACAATCGAACAGGCCAAAAACCAAAAGCATCAAGTTGATTGCAACAGTTTAATGTGTAGGCCTTTTCTCTGTCCATATAGAAAGGAATAAAGAAAAATGACGAATGCCTTCAAATCCGGCATGGACAAGCTCGTCAGAAGCAGAACAAATCACGAAAGAACCGAACGACCTCTGATCTCCTTGGGATGATTCTTTCAGTTTCAGGGTCTCTAGTCCCTCGGCTCCAGTGTCTGACCGACCTCTGACTCTCTGAGTCTCTGAACTGTAAGGCTCGTGGCATTTTGTGTCGAAGGGTCTTAGTTGCAGCAATGGTGGGTCCAAAAGTCCAAACTCCTGCAGCAGATATGCAAACTCATCCTGACCTCATGCTCCGTTCCTCCTTCCCTTTCTCCAAAGCTTTTCCATTATAGATTGGTTTATTTAAAAATAAAAAAAAAGTAAGAAATTGCAATATGAATTGTTGCCGCGTTACTTTCGATCACGAATTCAACGCGGAATCAGAGTAAGTAAACGTTTCAATCAGATTCTCATCGTCGCAATTTTTGAATTGAATTTTCTGAAACAAATAGATGATGTTTTTGTGGGGTGGAGAAACCAGAAGTAGGGAAACTTAGAAAGGAAGCTCTGGGAACTATTGCTATTGCTTGGATTACAATGGAAGTCAGGTATTAGTGAGGCAAACAGGCACAAAAGCTATCGTTCACGTCAACCTTTGAGAGATGAGACAAAAGGCCTACTCTCACCTTTAGTGCTTTGGACAGGACTCCCCACCTCACCTCACGTTGAAAGAATCAACCTAACCAAAAGAGAAAAGAAAACATTCCTCCAAATTCTCTGCCTGTAAAGAAATAAAACCCAAAGAGGGTTAGATAGATTTGTTCCATTTGCAACCGGGAAGAGTTGAAGCGGCTGCCATTGAGAACCGAATATGTCTAAGAGACCGGATTTTGCACAGAAGCTGTTGGATGACTTGCGGCGACGGAAAGAGCAGATGCAGATGTCTCAATCCCAGGCAAATCGTTCGAGCAAGATGCTGGGTGGTAAGTTCAGCATAGACAAATATTGCTTCTATATACTAATCGAGTCGTATAAATCTGAGTCTGTAACTGTAAGCCTCCCTGCAAGCACAGTCGTACACACACTGCACAGACGACAAGCCTATGCATCTCAGCGTCCACTTGGAAGAGTAAAACGTAGTGAGCTCCATATCTCTTCCCAGAGGCCCCCGTCAATGACGGACGGAAAACACAAATTCTACTCTCTCGCGATGAGATTGTTGAGATTTTGAGGTATACTATATTCTGGGGTGATTGCTCATGCGGAAAGACGCATATGCCCTTTGCTTCCCGTTGTCAGAGAAGGGAAAAGGAGGGGCGGGGGTGTAAAAATTAAACAATTTGTTTAAGGGGGGTGGTAAATATACCACCTTCCAGCAACCTAAACAACTTGTTTCTGTTAGTATGGGTATTCTATTCTTTTTTTTTTCAGAAATAAGAAATAATTCAGGCACATTTACTGCGGATTCCAAATGTGAAAAAGAATCAATCTCTCTGATTATTGATGTCAACAAACAATAGAATATATATCATTGTCAATTAATGAATTCTATTTCATATCACGAGTCCGTATCTGTAGAAATGGAATAAAAAATTGATGATAAGCGTTGCTTGGAGAGCAACCGAGTAACCCACCCGGGCACTCGTTTAACAGTTAACACGTAACACATATTACTGATTCCTATGTTTTTATTGGAAAACTGAATCTGCAGATACTAATGGAAACTTCAGACAACACTCTCGAGGATCTAGACAAGTAAATCCACATGAAATGCTAAGATTTCTTTTTAATTTTTTCACCTGGTTTGTATATCTAATAGTACGACTAAGTTGAAATGAGCATGGTTGTTTGGTCGGTTCCATTACTATTTTTTTTGCAGACAGCTTCCATAGCAGGTGGCAGGAACAAAGGTCTCAGTTCGGCAGGTAATAGAAAACTCTCTGCTGAGGTAGCTTCAAAGGAAATTGTTCCAGTTGGGAAAGCTCAGAGCTCTGCACATATTGGTGACCTATCCATGGCGATCGCTTTTGCCCTTGAGAATGGCGGGAGACTCAAAAAAATGGAATCTCCAGCTAACAAAATGATGGATTTTCTGCATCAAATAGGGAGGAGATCAATAATAGACTCTGGGATGATGGACAGGGGTCGACCTCCAAACAGTCGCTTCCCTGCACTGTCTCAACTCCACGTAAAGGAGATATCCAAAGGTGTACAGAAATTAAACCAGATACTCAAGGCATGCGCTAATGGCCTTAATTTTGACAGATACTCCATAGAAATCGGAAAGGAGTTACTGAGAGGGGCCATCGAATTGGAAGAGTCATTAAGAATGCTTGTAAACCTACAAGAAGCTTCAGAATATATGGTTAGCCCACAGAGAAAGCAGAAAATCAGATTGATCGAGTGTGAAGATGATGAAGATGATGGCAATAATGAAAATAGCAAGGCTATTGTCAAAGTAAATCAACAGAAGCAACTGGACTGGCCACGTTTCTCTTTCAATGGACCCTCAAGAGACTCAAGAGATAATGTTAGAGAAACTAGAAAGACTAGTTTACTTGAACAGAGGGTGAGGGCTCTATCACACACCAGAGAAGCTCCCCACCTGATTTCAGAAAAGCAATCTCCAACAACCTATCCCTTATCTCACAGACGGTCAGCAAGCTCTGGTCCAGATTCCAATACTCTAGATGCATTCTCAAACCCCACAAAACACTCGAGTTCAATTCACTCAAAACCAGAAAAGGGCAGAATTCCTAATGTTATTGCAAAATTGATGGGGCTTGAGGAAATTCCACCAAACATAGGCTCAAAAAATGCAGTGCAGAAAGACCCAGCCCCAAAGCAAGGGGAATCCAGCAAGGATTCACAGAAAGCTGGACATGGAAATACCAGAAAAGTTGAAAGGATGACTAAGGACTCCAAGAACTTTGTCCCCCAGGGAGCCCAAACAACAATAGAGAAGATGCACCAAGAAAACAAAACCTCAGCAACTCGTGATGCCAGCCTTGATATAGTTCTTGGTGAAAGGAAATCATGTCACAGGGATACCAAGAGCATGGAGAATATGAATCTGATGGCGGATTTAAAGACACTGACCATCAAAGTGAATAACCCACAGATCAACACGAGCCAATTGAAACAAATCACAAGTATTCAGAAAGAGAAAGCAGAGAAGGAGAGAAGGCAAGAGAAACAACATCTCAAATATCAGGGAAGCACCAGAAATGAGGAAACTAAGGAATTTGTCATGAAGAATCCATTGCAGAGGATGGCACAACAACATTACAAACATGTAGAAGCAGCAAGTGTAAAGCAACAAAAGGCAGAAAGCAAGGAAAGTAGACACCAAAACGAGAACAAAAATGCAAATAGATTTTCAGTGCTGAGCAATCAATACGACAGATCTCAGCAGACTAAAAGAACTCAATCTCAAGATGCAAAAGGAGAGGAACCGACAGTGAAAAACAAGTTGCAAGTGAAATCAAATGGTAGAGAAACCGTGCTACAGATTTCATCAAAACCTACCCATGATGCTATGAATTCACAAAAGAAGCTGCCACATGTGAATCACTCAACAACTGAAAAGAGAAATTCCATGGGAGTTTTTGATAGATTGTCATCTGAAGGATCTCCAAAGTACAGCCAACGTGAAAATCTTATCAGAGAAGGTAAATCACCTTCACATAAACTCACCATGAAGATGCCACCCAAAGAGAGCACAGAAGATGAAAGAGCCTCACCAAAATATGCAGAAATTGCATCCATTCCACCAGCTGTGATTGAAAAGCCCATATCTTCCCCACGAGCACAGAATGAAGATAACATGCAAGAAGTGAATAAAAAAAAGACTGCCCCAAAGAGAGAATACAGGAATTATGAAATGGAGACAAGAAGAATCGGAAGCCAGAGAAATATGGGTAGTCCATTGAAGCAAAACATTTTAGTTTTGCAGGATCCGAAGCAAAGAAGGGATGAAGAAAATCAATACAAAGGAACAGAAGCAAGCATCAATAGATCCAAAAAAGCAGAGGCAAAAATCAAAACATTGAATCAGGCACCATGTTTGCAGGAAAAAACTGATCCCACAACCATCTTGGGCAAGACAGTGGACAACAAATATGAAAGGCAAAATAAACCAGAAAGTATAGCTCCACATGTCACTGTAAGACCATTTTGCTCAAAAATCATCTTCCAGACAATGAAACTATTCCTGTTGTTTTCAGCTACTTTTCAAACGATATGCACCATTAGATTTGGTAGGTTCTAATTTCCTTGCCCTAAGCTATGATGTCTATGATGCAGATTCAAGATGTGGCCTCAAAATTTTCAGATTCTATGCAAGCCCCAGAATTTATGGTCGACAAAGATCAAGAACTGAAGTGTTCCAACTTGGTTTCCATCCAAACCCAAGGTATGCGACATCTCTAATAGAAATGAATGGTTTTCAAGAAGCTGCCATAGCCTCATCCATAAAATAACTTTAGAAAGAATGACGCAGAAGTTGTCGCCATCACTAGGTTATACCTAGAGAATTTTTTTATTTTTTCATAAGCCACTAAATTATTCATATCCTACTAGAGGTTTCTCCATAAGCAGTTCAGATTAAGCTGCAATTAGACCTTATAAAACACTACCAACTTCTTCCCAGCACACCAAGAAGCCTCAACAAAACTGTTTTTAACCTGCTAACAGTATTTATTCTATGTTTGCTATAAAAAAAAATATTTATTCTACGTGTCATTGTCTTTATGATACAGACCTGAATGAAAAAGATAGGGTTGGCATCCTTAGCTCATCAGAACAAGAGAACCAAAAAATGTCCATATGTGGGGGACAAGGGCCACTAGGAGAGAATGAAAATAATCTCAAGCAGATACTCGTACAAAGTCAATTGTTCCTTAATGCAGCAGAGGCACTTTACGAACTCCAAATTCCTGTTGGGATCCTACATGCTAGTGCCCATAAATGCCAAAATGAAAATAGTAAGCTTGTTTTAGACTGCAGCTATGAAGTGATGAGACGAAAAGGCAGAAGACAAGAGCTCACTTTTTATCCCAGCATGAAGATTTCTATTGGGTCCATGAAGATAAAATGCTTGGATGACTTGGTTAAGAAGTTGCATGAAGACCTCGAGGAGTTGAAGTTCTGGGGTCAGAATGGGAGCAAGGAATGTGATGTTGCACAGTACCTGTATACGATACTCAATAAAGACATTCAAAATAGGAATCCAGATGTGAACTGTATGTGGGATTTTGGTTGGAGTTACTCAATTTTCACATTTATTGAAAAGGATGACATCATAAGGGATTTGGAGAAGCATTTGCTGAATGGACTTATTGATGAAATAACTAGAGATCTTTATATATAGGGATAACTATTTGATGGAAGGTCACACAAAGTTCTGAACTTATTCACGAGCAGGATTGGTTTTTAGTTGAAGTTTCAAAGTATAAAGGGTTTTACCATGTGTATTCTTGTAAAAAAAAAGAAAAATGTTACTTTCTTTTTTACTACGGAAATTAATATATATAGTACTCGAGTACCATTTTCATGTGTTTGGTGATACTTGACCTATCCCAGCATCAGAACAAATTCTCTTCATTAAGAGTCAAGAAGGTGTATGATGATATATAATAAAGAGGCCCAAAGGCAAAGAATTTACAGTATATTGTCTCTACAGTTATGTCTTTCAATCCTTAAACTCATTGAAGACAAGAATCCAATCCATCAAAAACAGAAAGAATCAGCACATCACTCTTCAAATATTCTCCAACTTCAATCCTTCCACACAGCCCAACAAATAGTAAATGAAAAAATAAACCACAAAATGGCCCTATAGAACCCACCAACAATGAAAGCCATCATAAGATTGTTTTACACATCAAAATGGGACAACTCCAAAAAAATCTGAAGAAGAGAACAGAAGAACTCTAAAAGAAAATAAGTGGTGGGGCTACTGATTACTCAGATGATCTGCACATAGGACAACAATCTCGGATTTGCATAGGTGGTCTACGGTAACAACTTTATCAAAGAAAACCAGCCACATGAATGCTCCCACCCTAGGAGGAACCCTTCTTTCCCAAATGCAATCAGAATCGTCAATACCAGAGATGCCTTTAGCAAAAGCAATATAAAAAACCTAAGAGAATTTAATCCTCCCAATATATTTTTTCCTGGCATCAGGAAAAAACCAAAAATTTCAAGTTATTGGAAAATTAATAAACTTCTGTAATTTCCCTACTCAACAATGGTCTTTGGTAAATAGGATACCAGGTGATCCTACTACACTGTACTGTAAAAACCTCAGAGATGTTACTCCCCACCTTTGCACAGTTATCCTATTAGAACAAATCCGTCAGATTGCAGCATACATGTATATGTAATAAATATAACCTTAGTTCCATACCATTAACTAATCACCCATCAGCAGGTTGTCATCAAGAAGTAACAGGATTAAGGTGTGAATGTGTATATTGGATAATGAATAGTCAACACCCAACATTTTCACAAGATGTGACTTCAAGGAGGTTTTGATAGATGCAATAACCCCAATGGTCAATAATGGAGAATGAAAATAACCCCAAGGCATGGCAACTATTTTGAAACCATAAAGGATGTGAAGAAGCACATTCTAAATGCTCGTGTTGAGATAACCATGAACCTTTCACATATAAGCATTACTATTTCATAAAAAAACAAGCACACAAATCTGCAAAATAATTCGAATGAAGTTGGTTTGTCATTCAAGTTTCAGATGAAAATGGTTTTACCATATGTGCTGCTGATAGGGGTAAATGATGATGAATGAAAAAGTTCCAGAATTTTTTTATTGGAAACAGTAGCTCCAAAAATTATTTAGTTATCCAACTACCAGTTCCAAAATTGTGCCTAAAGGTTTCATCATACATCAATGCATATGAATTACGGACACTAATATACAAATTCCATAAAATGCAAGAAATAAAAGGATCATGTCACAATGACAGGGTACAAAAAATTTATTCAAGAGCGCAAATGTAAAGCCTGATTATTGTGTGAGATTAGAGAAATTCTGATCATACATATCAGATCAACCACTCTGATGTAGCCTACAATAATTGTCAAAATGCCGAGCTATCAATAATTTATTGGATCCCTTGTAACCAGGCCATCCACAGGTCGGTCCCTTCTTCATGAGCAGAAGTATCAATATACGCGAGCTTTGGGAGGGAATGACTCAACCTCATCATCTAATGTATTCATATGGACTGGTCTGTAATCTAGCCGGACCTTCTCATTCTCCCAGTATCTGCACATCATAGTAGACATAAGTTTCCATTGACAAAAGTAAACGTATGGTAGAAGTAAGGAGCATACATACTTGAAACCAACACTTCATTATAAGGAACATCCAGAACCAAAACCAACCAGTTAAGTAGGTTATCTTTTACCAGTAACCATAAAGCAGTTAAGTAGAAGCAGTAGTCACTAAGTTCCAAAATGATTACATGAAACATGCATCTGCAACTAATAGCAACAACAACAACAATGACAATGATGATGATGATGATCCTCTAAGGTAAAAGCTAAACCAGAGCTTTCTTTGCATTTAGCAGACACTAAAAGATCCCATAAGATTGACACAGTATGTTTTCCATCCAATGCATAGTGCAGGAGAAAACAAATCAAAATTGGAGTTTTTGGATTTTTTATTATTTTTGTATTGTCAAAATATTCATGAAAAAATGGAATAAAGAAAAGAAATTTCAGAAAATAGAGGGGTTGAGCCTCTATTTTTGTCATAGGAAAGGAAGAAAAAAAAAACGAATGGATGAAAGAGGAAGGGGAAGAAGAAGATAATCAATATGTGTTGATTGGACAAATTTTCTTCCATGCTTATCAGTTCAGGTTTTCAAGCCTTCAAGGGTTCAAGACACTATACATGTTGATTGAATACTAAGAAATAAGAAAAATGATAAAAAGAAACCAGCATTTTAACTCAAAATGAATAATTTTTTGAGGAAAGGATAACTTTTATTGCAAAAAACAAGGGAAGGATGTACAAAAGCTTTATCAAAACTGTCCGCACAGTATTAAGCATGAGCAAGAGTCAAACCAAATAATTTAGTTTAATAGTGTTCGTTTTAATATTAGTCTCAAAAAGTTAAGAGTATAAAAGTATCCAAGAGTACCCTATAAAAAATATCTTAGCAATTAAGCGCGGCCACCCTCCATTAGTGCCTTATCACCTAGGCATTGCCTTGACAACTTTTCTTATCAATAACTGAAAAAAATCATTCATTAAAAATTTAAATAGTACAATGAAAAGGGAGAGATAAACTCTCTTAACTCTCCCAACCAGTTTACAAGATTACAACAAAGCCAAGAAAATTTGATTCCTTCACACCCCTTGTTTAGCTAGCGCATCTGCAAAGCCATTTGCTTCTCTTTTACCCACATCAGCTTCAATTCCATTGAAGCCAATTTATAACCAACTTTGAATCCCCTTCTATTAAAAGTTTTGAGAAATTCAAATCCTGGATTATTGAACTCTGTTGAAGTTTGGTCGGTTTTTTGTGATTATTTTAGAATAGTTGTGTTATGTTAGGAATTAGATAGGTAGTGGGGACCACAACAATTATGTGAGTCCAAATTTTATTATGATTTTGAGTCCTATTCATACTGTTTTATACAGTACCAGAATACAGCTCTCCTACTTCTCAAGATTTCTTCTTCTCTTTCTTTCTCTCTCTTCCCTCTTCAAGAAAATACCTTTTTCTTTTATATTTTTTATATTTTTTAATTCCAGCAGATTTCCACTTGGTATCTGAGCCAAGTTTTAGGGTTCTTTAATCAATCTCATGCAGACCTAAATCGGCCAACTACATGAAGTAAGAAGAGGCTGATCGATTTGCTATTGATTGCCCAGTTCTTGGATTTTTTGGTGAGGTCGAGTCATCAGGAAGGTGATCTACGTTTTGGAATCAAAATCAGTAGGGAACTGGAGTACGAAAAAGAGTCCTAGAAAAGTTGGACTCTTTGTTCTTGGTCTGATCTTGGACGCACAGGTATCGTTTGACTTCTTTTATTTTTCTGTAGAGGGCGGTTAGTTTTCTGGACCTTTCTGGGCCTTCTAGAGTGGCTGATTCTATCTTCTCTCTGTTGGGAGATACTGGGAGGAGAGAGATTTCTCACCGGTTAGGGTTTTCTTTTCTCATAAGGGTTTGTTTCTGTAAGTGTGGTTTTAAATTGTTCCTGGAAGCTCTCAACTCTCTTTTTCAGTCTATTAAACTGTTTAAAGTAATATGGAGAGTTGGAATACCGAGCTGTAATCCACTGGTACCATGGGACTGGGTGGAGGTGGCAATGATATTTTTGGATCTAGAATTATTACTACAGTAAAACTAGATGGAACAAACTAATTAGAATGGGCACAATCAGCCAAGATGGCTATTGGTGCCCATGGGAAGTTAGGGTACATCACTAGGGAGGAAAGGAAACCTGATATAGATTCCTCTTGGTGGGTACAAGAGAATTACATGGTGATGTCATGGCTATGTAATTCTATGCTACCCCACATTGGAAAAATTTTTTTGTGGGTTAATACTGCTAAGGAGATTTGGGATGGAGTGACTGAAACCTATTCTCAAAAACAAAATGTAGCTAGAGCTTATTAGCTAAGAAATCAGGTGATTAGTATAAAACAGGGAGATAAACCTCTTGCTATGTATTTCTCCATGCTAAAAACCCTTGGGCAGGAAATAGACCACTTGGAGACTGTAATGTGGGAAAGTGTTAATGATGCAACAACCTATTAGAAATGGGTAGAGAAAAATAGGGTTTTTGAGTTCTTGGCAGGGCTAAACCCTGAATTTGACATTGCTAGACAACATATCCTCTCTAGGGAGAGTGTGACACTCTCTCAAGCCTGTGCCTTTGTTTCTGGAGAGGAAAGAAGGAGGAATGTCATGTTGAGACAGCCTGGGGTTGACCACTCGACTATGGTTAGTACAGCCAAACCTAAGCCAAATGGAGATAGGGGGAGCAATGAGACTAGGAGGGAGGATAAGGACTTGGTGTGTGATTACTGTAAAAAGCCTAAGCATACTATAGATACTTGTTGGAAACTTCATCCACATCTTATGCCTGCCTAAATAAAGAACAATAAGGGAAATGCAAATGTGGCCACTACAGAAGACTCTTCGGCCCCTCTTTCCCAAGCTGATTGGGAATCGATTACAGTAGCAGTTGTGAGAACAAAATTAGAAAGATTTGGACAGCTTATGAGTAAGAAAGATACAACTAGTTCCATCTTTCAGATGGACAACAGAGTGTAGGAACCAACTACACCACCTCTTTGGCACATACAGGTAGTTCATATGCAACTGCAAACCTTGCATCCACTTCAGGTAATGAGGGACCTCCCTGGATTATAGACTTAAGAGCATTTAAGCACATTACTAATGCCCCTACCCTCCTCAGTTCTTATCAGTTATGCTCTAGTAGAGACAGAGTTTCTACAGCAGATGGTTCTCATATTCCCATTGCTGGAAAGGGAACAGTTAAGAGTGACCAATGATATTACTTTAGTTCATTGACAAAAAATCTGAATTGTTCAGTGACTTTCCTTCTTGGTAATTGTGTTTCGCAGGATCTGGAGTCAAAGAAGATGATTGGGAGTGGTCATGAGGTGAATGGAGTCTACCTTCTGGATGAGATTCCGAGATATCAAAGTCACCATGTCAACAGCAGTACTAGATCAGAGTCAGTGAGTCAGATTATGCTCTGCCATAATTGGCTAGGGCATCTTTCTTTCAGTTCTTTAAAATTTCAATTTCCAAAGTTATTTGAGTTTGTTCAATTATTTACCTTAGAGTGTGAGAGTTGTCAGTTGGGAAAACATTGCAGACATTCTTTTAAACCAAGTAATAAAAGAAGTGCTCTTGCTTTTGATATTGCTCACACTGATGTATGGGGACCATATCATATTCCTTCCATGGGTGGCTACCGTTATTTCCTCCTATTTGTGGATGATTATACACGGTATTCTTGGGTATATTTGATGAGAAACCGTGATGAGGTCCCTAATTTTTTCCAATAGTTCCATCAGATGGTTCTCACACAATTTGGAGTAAGAACTAAGGCCTTCAGATCGGATAATACCAGAGTATTTTGAGGACTTGACCACATTTTTTGGAGCATGGTGTAATTCATCAGAGCAGTTGTGCACATATACCGCAACAGAATGGAGTAGCTGAGAGGAAAAATACACATTGTGGAAGTGGCAAGAAGTCTTATGGTATGTGCTTCAATTCCTGTTCATTTCTAGGGAGATGCAGTTCTTACAACTGTGCACTTGATTAACCGTGTTCCTTCACGTATTTTGGGGTTTAAGGTGCCATTCAGCTTTCTTTTTCCAGATACAAAGATGTTTCACATACCTCTGAGGGTTTTCGGTTGTGTCCTTTGTACACATTCTTGGCCCCCATTGCAAGAAATTGGATCCTAAGGCCAAGAAATGTGTTTTCCTTGAGTATGCTCAGAACCAAAAGGTGTATTGTTGTTATGATCCTGTGACAAGGAGCATATTTGTCACGGATGCTACTTTTTTTGAATCTATCTTCTACTTCTCAAGCGGTTCTCCTCCAGGGGAGAGTTTTGGGGAGGAGAACTTACAGTCTGTTCCTCTTCCTATTTCTTTTGTGCCTCCATCAATTCCACCAGGACCTCCATTAGTTTCTCTACCTGAGCCACTACGAGCAGCCTCACAAAAGTATCAGCGCCGGCAGATGATGGTTGACTCCATACATCCACAACCCCACCACTCTCCATCAGTCTTTTTTCTTCGCAAAGGGAAGAAAAAGTGTACAGCCCATTGCATTTCACACCATCTTTCGTATAGTGCCTTTTCACCCTCCTATCGAGCTTTCCTTTCTTCCCTGAATTCTATGTCTACCCAGGAATGTTACAAAGGCCCTTTCCAAACCTGAGTGGAAAACAGCCATGCAAGAAGAAATGGAAGCCTTGATTAAGAACCAAACTTGGGAAATAGTTGATCTTCCTCCAAACAAGGAAACAGTCGGATGTAGACGAGTGTTCATTGTGAAGTATATGGCTGATGGCAGTATGTGGCATTGCAAAAAAGTGTTGTGACCATGACACCATGTAGACTAATCGAAACCAAATCACCTAGGCAAGCATTCACAAGGTGATTTGGTTTTAAATTTGATTATTAGCATATTTGTGACTTATTGGAAAGTCATAAGAAAGTGTTTTGACCACGTGAACTCATCAAAATCAATTTACCCA